CAGCCGCCGTCTCCTGCTCTAGCCCCATTCTTCGCGGCCCAGCAGGCACCCCACGCAGAGCAGCTTCCGCCCCCAGGGCACCCTTCATGTCATGCCAGCGCGGCTGGCCATCCATATTTCTTCTCTTGCGATATTCTGGATGACATTCCTGAGACGGGGGTGTGTTTAACCCGCTCAGCACGGTCGCGCCACTGAGCAGCTTGGAGATGTCGAGACAGTTCAGCGCAGCCGAAGTCATCATGTTACCAGCCACCCGTTGGAGGCAGCACGCCCCCACCAGCCCCGTCGACCAGCTCCAGACCTACCAGCACCGCATCGTCACGAGGGGCTACGGCAGTGGCCTTTCACCAACAATCAAGCGGGCGTGGCCAGCACGATCAGCAACCGCTACCGCATCAAGTGTGTGACCGCGCTCCCCAGCCCGCCGCCGAGCATTCAAGAACGCGCAGGAGCAGTTCGCCCTCGTCGAGGAGGACTCGACACGAATTTCATTGTTGCGCCTCTACCTCCACGGTCAGGGCTCGCCAAGCACCACAACGCTTGGGTCAAGACGATCAACGAGACGCTCAAGTGGATCAACAAGACCCAGAACGAGACGCCCACCAGGAGCACGCCGATCATCGGCCCAGACCTGAACGACCACTACGGCCAGGACGGATTGCTTCCCGCCACGCCCAGCAACGTGATCGGCGACGCAGGCCCTACAGGAGTACCTGGAGAGGCAACCGCTGCCTTCCACTACATGCTCGACGTGCACTGCAGGTGCATCCTGAACATTTTCTGGAACGCGGGGCCCACGTACATCGGAGCCCAAGGACAGGCCACACGTCCCGACTACATTGCAGTGCCTCACGGTCTATGCTCCCACACTACTTCTTGCAGAGTCTGGTGGCGAACGGCCAAGGCACCTCAACTCATCAATGACAACGCGCCGCGCGACCTTGTCATACTGAATGCAGCCGCCAACGTCATCATCCCGAATGTGTTCACAGACCTAAAGAGGACCGCCTGGGACTACGACAAGAAGGCCCTGGCCCTGCAGAAGGGCAAGTACCGCAAGGAGTTCAATGACGCGCAGGAGTTCAACTTCGGCAACCACCAGGACAAGCTGAAGAAGTTGGTCGGGGACAACACAGTGGACGAACACGGTGAGCTCATCGTGAACATCATGAAGGAGGCAGCCAAGCCCTTCTTCGAGCGCCAGAAGTCCAAGCTCGACCAATACTACCAGCTCATGGAGGTACGTCTGCGGCTACTCCAGGCGCGCGCCAAGCTCAGAGAGGAGTACATCGGGACCGACCCCAACTACGAGATCGAGTACCAGATCGAGGTCCTCTCACGTGCCCTCAAGAAGCAGAAGCGCCAGTACGAAGCGCGACGACAACACCTAGAGGAGCGCATCTACGAGGCTTGGCAACGACGAGACGCTGAAGTATATCAACTGTCTCGACTCATGGCCGGCACCAAATACGGCAAGCGCAACCGCAACTACAGCCGCGCGACCAGAGCACGCCCCAGCTTGCAGGAGTGGGCAGATCACATTGCAGCAGACGGCCAGCAAGGAGGGTTTAGAGCTCACCAGATCGACCCCGAGGAGGAGAAGCGCATCTTGAAAGAGACCACCCACGAGTTCACCACCGTGCACAACCTACAAGTTCGCCACGAATACGAGGACGCCAAGGACGACATCAAGCGAGCACTCTACGGCGTCACCAAGCGGCTCAAGTACTTCAAGAAGCGCGCCTCCGTGCCAGACTGGCCACTGCCCGCCGAGATCTTCCAGATGACCTTCCAGCCCACCTACATCACCAAGCAGAAGCCGAAGACGACAGGCGCTGGCTACGATGACGAGCTCGCTGAGGCACCCCTCGCGCAGGAGAGCTTCGAGTCAGTCCTCAACCACGCGTACCGCGTCGGCGTCGCCCCACTCAACGCCCACCACAGCCAGAGCTTCACCCTCGACAAGAAGAGCGGCAAGCCTAAGGTCCTCGGCTTGCGCATCCTCCACATGATGCGCCCCTTCTGGCGCTGCTTCTACAGACAGCTTCAGTGCAAGTCCAAGCCGTGGTCACCTCCACCTCATGCTCACGGCTGCCGGCCTCATCGGCGTCGCGAAGTCCCCATACGACGCCAACAACGAGGAGGAGAAGCCTCCCAGACCAAGTGCGACCCCAAGCTGAAGAAGTTGCTCACGGTGATGATCAAGCAAGTGCTGGCCAACACTCAGCAGATCGCCTGGGTCGTTTCCGCGGTCTACAGCACGTATCCGATGCCGACTCAGACCAAGGTGATCAAGGCGCTCCGAGCCTGCAGGAAGATCTACGCGGACAAGTGCAAGGAGGCGGGCAAGGGACATTCGCTTATTTCGACCCTCTGCTCCAAGGACGTGGGCGCCAAGACCAAGAGCATTCTCACAGAGCACGGGAAGTTCGTGGACCAGTTCAGTGAGGCGACACACCTCAACAAAGTGAAGCACCTGAAGATCAGCAAGTGCTACGACAGCAACCAGGCGAAGATCACACTGTATTTCGAGCAGGGGCCCTGGACCGACGCGGCGGCCGAGGAGGACCCTCAAGAGGAGCAGAAGCAGCAGTGCAACACCAAGGACAGCACCCACAGAGCGCTGATCCAAGTGGGAGCTACGGTGAAGACGGGCAAACCACCAGCGGGAGTCATGGAGGACGAGCTGGCTGCGTGGTGGGCAGGGCTATGACTACGAGTATGAGAATATGGATGGCCGACACGACTACGCCTCGTTCGGCAAGGTGATCGGCGTGCGTGGCGCTGTGATCACAATGAAGGTGTCGCTCTGAGCGGCGACGGCGGGGGCCCATCCTTGCGGCCGAATGCACTGCCTTGCCCCCCAATGCCGCTCTATATATCCTCCTCCTCTTCCTCCTCCTCCTCCTCTTCGTCCTCCTCCTCCTCTTCGTCCTCCTCCTCCTCCTCCTCCTCCTCCTCCTCTTCGTCCTCCTCCTCCTCCTCCTCCTCCTCCTCCTCCTCCTCCTCCTCCTCCTCCTCCTCCTCTTGCGCCTACACGCACGAAGAGCGTAAAAGGAACCCTGAAGAAGAACCTCCAGATTGCCAAGCCCCTTCCGAGGCCAACATGGGTCTGACTCTAAGGTTTTTGGCCCATCGAATTCGGCACCAGGCGCGCCCGCTGACGGCGATGCCACCCTGTCGCAAGTACGTGGATGGGGGGCTCGCAGCAGCTTGCGCGAGGCAGTCCTGCACAGCTGGACACCTCGAAAGCCAGTCCAGCACAAGGAGGCACTCTAAAGGATGCGCGAGGAAGTCCTGCACAGCCGGACACCCCGAAAGCCAGTCCAGCACGGGAGAGACACTCTAAGGGACGCGCGCGCTGGCGACCTGCAAGCAGTGATTGCCCAACCCTCTCGCGTGCCCCGGTTCCTCGACCTCCGCTCCCTCCCGCTGAGTCCCCTGGACACGTCGTAGCGGCGAGAGGCCAACAGCCGCGCTCGCACGCGCAGCGCGCAACTAGCATGCGGGCTGCGGCGTGCACTTTCGCAGCCGTCGGGCACAGGCGCCCTCCAGGGACCTAGACAACTAGTGCCTCGAAGCGCCAAGCGCCTCAGCCACCTCAGCACGCGACGAGGATCTCGCGCGAGAAGCTCACGCAATCTCCGTGAGGAACAACGCCGCAGCATTGAGCACCCGCTGCCGGGAGCTCTCGGTGTGCAGGTAGACCTAGAAGAAGAAACAACAGCAACAGCATAGTTAAACGTCAACTCTCGGAGGTCAGAGAGGATTTCTTGGGTCGGCGTTGGACACCCCTCCTTGGCGCGCGGAGCGCGCCAGGGGCAGCGCCGGAGGCGCCACCAGCGGGGGGGGGCCAAACGCCGAGCCACGAACTCCGCGCGGAGCGCCGACAGTTTCCGTGCACGCAGCTTCTTCCTCGAAGACCTCCCCGATCAGCTGCTCTCGGCTGAGCGAGACGTAGATGGGCATGCCCACGGTGCCCGCGTTGCGCGCGGACGAGACCGCCCGGTCGGGGTGCGCCGACTTCGACATCCACGCCACCGTGAGCGGCGGCAGCACCGAGGTGAGCGCAGAGTTGCGGCCGCCCTCCACCAGGATGCGCTTGCCTGAGGGGGGTGGGAATGTGAGGGAGAGATCGGCCCCGGGGGGGAAGCATCGGCGGTGGACGCACCTCCCTCCAGTAGACCTCCCCTCAGTGAACACGGCCCGGGGGCCGAACTCGACGGACCTGGACCCGCCAAAATGACGGCCGCGGCGCCCTCTCGCGAACCGAAAACGGCCTACTCCTTCATCGACGTGTCAGGGTACGGCAGGTTCGTGTCGTGCCGACCCCAGCGTTGGTTTTTGACACCGCAGGGATCGTTCAACCTTGAACGATCGGCCGCTGCCGCAACGTCCGATCGTTCAACATCGATCGATTCTGGGTCGCCGACGGCGTTCAACCTTGAACGCCCGCGCTGGGGTCGCCGCTGGTCGACACGACGCAAACCTACCGTAGGAGGTCTATCCACCTCCGAAAACATCGAGCCGGAATCGACGACACGTCGCCGACAGATCGGCGGCGGGCCCCCGACCCTGCGATCCTGGCGTGGCATTTCTGTGCGCAGCGGGCGCCTTCGCTCCACGTCGGGCCCCGGGGCCCTCACAGATCGACATTGAGGAGGGAGAGGAGGAGGAGGAGGAGGAGGAGGAGGAGGAGGAGGAGGAGGAGGAGGAGGAGGAGGAGGAGGAGGAGGAGAGATGGGGTTCAACATGCCAGCGATCCCCTGTGGCCCGATGCCTGCACGGCGCGGGTGAGCGACCTGGCCCGAGGCGAAAAAAAGTGGGGCGGAAGACTTTCGCCTCGGAGGCGTCGGCGGAGAGCTCCGCAGAAGCACGGCGGCGAGGCGGAAGCATCCACGGCAGAGCAGGGCCACTTTTGGGCGCGATGCTGCAGTCTCTTGGCAACGTCGGATCTCAGGGGATATGGCGGGTCTGCACGCTCCTGGGCGGGCTGGGCC